TCTATAGTATCACTTGAATTGTTAGCATTTAAACAGTATCGTTAAAATTGTTTAAGCAGTGAATTAATTGTATGCAGTAGCTGAATTAGTTGCGCATCTGATCGCTAAGCTTGATCAAGAGCAGCTGAGGATGGTGATTGTCTACGTTAATCGCATGATAGGCGGTTACTATCCGTAGAAATTTTTCTCGAATGTTTTGATGTGCCCTCAGTTCAAAGCAATTTCATCATAAAANNATCATAAAAGTCATGGAAACACATGTGTGAATTAGGATTTTATATGAATTATTTTTTTGATATTATGAATTATTATTTCATTATGAATTATTTCATTACTTCATGAATTATATTATGAATTATTTCATTACTTTATGAATTATATTATGAATTATTTCATTATGAAACCATGAATTATTTCAACATCGTTTCCTTTCTGTAATATATTGTTTTTTTATAATTTTAATAATTTTTTAAATAATTTTTTATAATTTTTTTATAATTTCTGTAATATAAGCGAAATTATTTAGCAGAAACCAATTGATTTATTGGGTTTTCGTCATTGGTTAGTGATATTGGTGGTGATCGGTGCCGTGTACGCGTTTGTTGTCTACGAGGACAGACGAATGCCGGCAGTGGAGCCGACGGGACAATTCGAGCGATTCTCGGAGACAAGAGCACGCAGACTTCTGAATGAGTTGGCTGATTTGGGGCCGAGAGTGAGCGGGTCTCGGGAATGTGAGGTGGGTATTGTTGGATGGATTTGAATTGCTGTGTAGTTATTTTCATTTATCATTTGTTTGTTTTATTTATTTCTTTTCATTTTACATTTACTTCTCATTTATCCATTTTTTTCTCCATTTTATTTTTATTTTCATTTATCATTTGTACTTTTGTACAATTTTTATTCAGTTATTATGTATTTGTTTTGTGAATTTCCGTTTTGTTTTTAGTTATAATTTTTAAAAGTTGGTTTATTTATGAGTGTGAATGTATTTATTTATGTATGTATGTTTGTATGTATTTGTTGGTTTGTTTGTGTTTAGATTATTTTAGTTTATTATGAATTATTTTAAGTTAGTCAGATTTTAATTATAAGGTAATTTTTAAGTTTATGAATGTTATGGGATTAATATCGAGTTGATTTTGAAAATGAATGAATTTTGGAAAAGTTAAAATTGTTGTTGTGGAAGAAATGAATGAATTGAAGCGTTTGAAACGGTGCTGAAAGCGATTTCAGATAGAAGCGGTGAATATTTTAAGTGAACGTTTGCAACGGGTCAGTGAGAAAGTGTCACAATTGGATATAAATCGTTTCGAGACAGACATTCAACGACCATCGGGTTGT